ACAGTTCAAAAAGGAAATTCAGAGTTTACTTGAAATGTGTACTGAAATACTCATTTTCTGCACCAAAGTGTTCTGAGGTCTAACAATGGAGCTCCATATAACATGCATGGCAAAAGCTTGAAATTGCCTCCCTGTTTTCTAAAGCAGCCAATGTTAGTAGTGTTGTCTGACCCCAGTTCATCACTTATCGAGAATGCAGCAATGCATTAGATTTTGATTTATTTGTCTATAAAGAGTATTATAGGTGAAGCTGGTATGATTAAGGCGGTCTTACACTTCCCATGATAAGATCTTATTTTCAATTGCTTATAACATTGCTAAACTTTAACTGTCTGGGCTGAAATTTTACATGCCATATGTCCTCCTCAGTCTGACTTTAATTTCAGCCAAAATACTCCAGCCATTTCCAAGATCAAGCTGGGGAGGGAATACATTGTTTGACCCATGTTAAAAAAAATTCTGGTGACCTTTTCTTTGAACAGTGGTAGGGCTCCTGTGCTTTGAAGTAGTGAGTTGAAATTTAAGTGGAGTCTGACCGTTTGCTGTGCCGATGAAAATGTGCCTAAATTTGATGAATTTACAAGTCTGGAAAAAATGCAGTTTGCACATGCTTAGAGACTACTTTGATTTAGCAGCTGAAATCTAAGAAGACTCTGTTCTTACTGAACGTGCTCGAGCCTCTCACCGCTCCTAGTGCTGACCAGACTCCGGAGGCATCATCCCTACAGAGCAACTGAGCATGCTCCAGCTCAGGGCCTGAACTGGATGCTCCAAGCCATGGTCAGGCTTGCACTGAAAATGAGAGCCAGGAGCTTGATCTCTTCTGTGCTCACAACGACTCCCTTGCTCGCACCCAGCAGTGTGGATGAGGGATTTGCTGCTTCCAAAAACCTAGTACACCCCAGTTTACTAGATCCACCTGGGATCACTGCTCCATGTAACATACAGCACTTAGATATGTTTATAGTGAAATCAAATAAAAGTTTGTTTAATGATAAACAAATAAAGAGGGGAGGGTCCCAGAGCCCAGGCTCCAGCCCAAGCCTGAATGTCTACGCAGCAGGGTTTAGCTCTGTAGCCTGAGCCCCCCAACCCTGAGTCAGCTGACCCAGGCCAGTCATAGCCACGCCATAGGTCTTTTATTCCAGAGTAGACATACCCCAAGTCTCCAATACATTCTTTGTATGACTATAATTGTTGCAGTTTCACTCTAGACTTAGTACTGTCTACCTGCTAATATGTATTTGATAGCTGTCTCTCATAAAATCCTATATTTAATTCATGCTCTCACCTCACTTATGGGGATTCAATATTGCCAAGCCCAAGCATTCAGAAAATGAGTTCAGCCTTAAAATCATGAGATTTTCAAAAATAAAAAATGTTGGGTTCTTTTTATTTGTCTTCTATTGTTTGAGCCTTTGGAATACACTTGGATTACATTTCCTAGCTTTTCCCTGCAACCATAATCACTAGAAATTTTTTTCTAAATGAAAGCTGAGATTCTCATGTATTCAGCTGAATCCAGGATCTGGTGCTTTAAGAGAAATGCCTATTATTGTGATTTTTCAGGATAAAATCACAAGAGCTAGCAATACTAGAGATTGCAATGAACAAGGAGGCTAAAATAATCTAAGTAACATTGAACAAAATTTTGAGATTTAAAAAAAAAGTTTGCAAGTAGGACTGTCAAGCGATTAAAAAAATTAATCATGATTAATTGTGTGATTAAACAATAATAAAATACCATTTATTTAAATATTTTTGGATGTCTTCTACACTTTCAAATATATTGATTTCAATTACAACACAATACAAAGTGTACAGTGCTCTATTTATATTTATTTTTTGATTACAAGTACTTGCACTATAAAAAAAAACCCAAAAGAAATAGTCTTTATCAATTCACCTAATACAAGTAATGTAGTGCACCGTCTTTATCATGAAAGTTGAACTTACAAATGTAGAATTTTGTACAAAAATCCCTGCATTCAAAAATAAAACAATGTAAAATTTTAGAGCCTGCAAGTCCACTCTGTCCTACTTCTTGTTCAGTGAATCCCTCAGACAAACAAGTTTGTTTAATTTGCAGGAGATAATGCTGCCCACTTCTTGTTTACAGTGTCACCTGAAAATGAGAACGGGCATTCGTATGGCACTGTTGTAGCCAGAGTCGCAAGATATTACGTGCCAGATGCGCTAAACATTCATATGTCCCTTTATGTTTCACCCACTATTCTAGAGGACATGCATCCCTGCTGATGATGGGTTCTGCTCGATAACAATCCAAAGCAGTGCGGACTGATGCATGTTCATTTTCATTATCTGAGTCAGATGCCACCACCAGAAGGTTGATTTTCTCTTTTGGTAGTTCGGGTTCTGTAGTTTCCACACTGGAATGTTGCTCTTTAAGACTTCTGAAAGCATGCTCCACACCTCATCCCTCTCAGATTTTGGAAGGCACTTCAGATTCTTAAACCTTGGATTGAGTGCCGTAGCTATCCTTACAAATCTCATATTGGTACCTTCTTTGTGTGTTGTGAAAGTGTTCCTAAAATGAACAACGTGCTGGGTTATCATCCGAGACTGCTATAACATGAAATATATGGCAGAATGTGGGTAAAACAGAGCAGGGGACAATTCTCCCCCAAGGAGTTAAGTCACAAATTTAATTAACGCATTCTTTTTTTAATGAGTGTCGTCAGCATGGAAGCAAGTCTTCTGTTATGGTGGCCGAAGCATGCAGGGGCATACGGATGTTTAGCATATCTGGCATGTAAATACCTGGCAATGCCAGCTACAAACGTGGAAAGCAAATGCCTGTTCTCACTTTCTGGTGACATTGTAAATAAGAAAAGGGCAGCATTATTTCCTGTAAATGTAAACAAACTTGTTTGTCTTAGTGATTAGCTGAACAAGAAGTAGGACTCAGTGGACTTGAAGAACATAAGAACGGCCATACTGGGTCAGACCCAAAAGTCCATCTGGCTCAGTATCATGTCTTCCAACAGTGGCCAATGCCAGGTGCCCCAGAGGGAATGAACAGAACGGGTGATCATCAAGTGATTCATTCCCTGTCGCCCATTCCCAGCTTCTGGCAAAAAGAGGGTAGGGACACCATCCTTGCCCATCCTGGCTAATAGCCTAGGCTCTGAAGTTTTAAATTTATTATGTTTTTGAGTGCAGTTATGTAACAAAATAAAATCTACATTTGTAAGTTGCACCTTCATGACAAAGATTGCACTACAGTACTTGTATGAGGTGAATTGAAAAACACTATTTTTTGTTTATCATTTTTACAGTATGAATATTTGTAATCAAATAATATACACTGATTTCAATTACAACACAGAATACAATATATATGAAAGTGTAGAAAAACATTCAAAATATTTAATACATTTCAATGGGTATTCTATTATTTAACAGTGCGATTAAACTGTGATTAATCACGATTCATTTTTTTGAGTTAATTGCGTGAGTTAACTGCGAATAATCGACAGTCCTATTTGCAAGTCTTAATATTGATGGTACTGTAGGAGATGGATCAGATGCTCTAATCAGGCTAGGAATGCTCATAATTTGTACAGTAACTCCTCACTTAAAGTCGTCCCAGTTAACGTTGTTTCGTTGTTACATTGCTGATCAATTAGGGAACATGCTTGTTTAAAGTTGTGCAATGCTCCCTTCTAACATCGTTTGGCAGCTGCCTGCTTTGTCCACTGCTTGCAGGAAGAGTAGCCTGTTGCAGCTAGCTGGTGGGGCTTGGAACCAGGGTGGACCAGCAGCCCCCCTATCAAGTCCCCCTATCAGCTTTCCGCTCCCCTAAGTTCCCTGTGCAGCAGCTGCCCAGCAGGCTAGCAATTGCAGCTGTCCTTCCCCCACTGCCATGTGCTGCTCCTGCCCTCTGCTTTGGAGCTGCTCCCAGAAACTCCTGCTTACTGTGCTGGGGGGGAGGGGGGAAGGATGGGAGCAAGAGGGGGGCTAATGTCAGGGTGTCCTCCTCCCCCCTGCTCCTGCACCCTGCTTACCCCATCTTCCATAGAGCAGGGGGGGGGACACGACAGGGCTTTGCTGGCATCAGCTGCGGTCTCAGCAAGCTGATCTAATTAACAAGGCAGTGTACTTAAAGGGGAAATGCGCATCTCTCTCTCTCTCTCCCCTCCCTCCATTCCTGCTGCCTTGTAGACTGTGAGAGTTAACCCTTGAGGGCTCAGCCAATTGCTAGTTCATCATTTAGCAGTAAGGCATTCCCTGGTGTATATATATATATATATATATATATATATATATATATATATATATATACCGTGTATATATATATATACCATATATATATAGTTGTTTGTCTGGTGAAAAAAATTCCCTGGAACCTAACCCCCTCATTTACATTCTTATGGGGAAATTGGATTCGCTTAATATCGTTTCGCTTAAAGTCGCATTTTTCAGGAACATAACTACAACGTTAAGTGAGGAGTTACTGTAATTGCTTGAGAAGCAACCAAGACTTCATGAAAGTTCTAATGAATTTGAAAGGACCAGGAGGTAACTGATAACCTCTCCTGAGATAAATCTATTACAGAAACAATTCCTGCTTTTCCCTATTCATTTTACTAACCCCTCCCCAACATCAATTTTTAATTTAGTTATTCTAGAGAGAAGAATGATAGGTTAATTTTTCTAAAACCTGCATATATTCATATTCTCTAACCCAAGCATCCTTTCTTTAATATTCATTTAAGCAACATTTTAACTGTTGCTATCAATTTACATGCATATATTTATAACACTGGTTCAGTGTTTGCTGAACTACAGCTGTATCTTAGATACAGTTCATAGCATTAGAAATGCACTGTAATTTACTTGAACTTATTAGTTTCTCTTGTGCTTTCTGTTAGATGCCTATAAGTTTGTACATTTTTTTTTGTAGTATCTGCTACAGTCAAACACACCCATTACAATACTTTATTCTTTAACATGTTCTTTAATTTCTCTTTTAATAGAAAGAAAGAGAAAAAGATCACAAAGTTCGCTTGGCAGTTGGAAATGGAGTAAGGAGTGATGTATGGAGAGAATTTTTAGGCCGATTTGGTGACATCAAGATGTGTGAGTTTTATGGGGCTACTGAAGGAAACATTTGTTTCATGAACCACACCGGGAAAATTGGATCTGTGGGACGTACTAATTTCTTTTATAAGGTAACTATTTAATATTTTATTTGGGAAGGAGGGTTGGGGATAAATGTGATTCTTAATTCAGTAACTAGATCAGAAGAAGTGAGGCCTAAAATCAGTGGGAGTTGAGGATGCAGAATCAAGTCCTAAGTCTTTTGATCTAGGTACTGCAGGTTTAACTGACAGTGTTCAATGCTGCCAAAATCATGTGTATATAGTTCTCCCACCTGTGCTAATGGCAGCACCAGTGGGATTTTTTCCCCTTAAAATTTCCTAGCATAGACAAGGTCTAAATGAGTGAAACTCCACCATCCTGAAAGTTTCAAGAAACTTCTGTTCAGTTCTGCATTCCAAATCTTTGTTACTAGGCAAGAGACTAGATTAGAATTATTTAATGAATCACTGATTTATAACCAGAAATATATGTACAAGATTGAAGACTGGGGGGTATACCTGATTTAATGATAAATATATATTACAGGCTTCTTGCCTTATTATTATTATTTTTTTTTAGGATTTGGTTTAAAAAAAATAGACTCTAGGAAATGAACAGGGGAGCAAATCAGAGCAGATGACCTCAAAACTGAGAAATGGGGAACCACTGGCTCTCCTGCATGTTCTCTCTGCTCATCAGGAGTCTGTAGACGCTTGTATGCCTCAAATCCATCTACTTCCCAGTCTTCAAACTTTTATTTTCTGGGGCAGAGCCTAGTGTGGAATTGGAGATCAAGTACTCTCCACTCCATGTTATCCTCTCTAGACCCAGAGATATTCTGCCAGGAACTCCTTTCTGCTGTATCCCACTGTATGGCTTCAACTACTCAACTGCAGAAGAACAATATCTATGGGCAGCATGGCTTCCTGGGGGTGCCTGCAGTACTGTCAACCCCAAGCTTTCAAAAATCATGAGATTGGCTTAAAAATCCAGAGATTATTTTTTAAAACAATACATTTCTATTTTCTGAGACTTTAAGGTGCACTTGTTTCATGTTTTGAAGCTTTCCACAACCATGAGGACTCAAATTTTTTTGTAATGAAAGCTGGAATTTTCATGCAATCTGATTCCAACACCTGGGGCACTATGAAAAACACTGAAGATCATCAGACTTGATAAAATCATGAGAGATGGCAACACTGGAGTAGTCCATAGGAAGAAGCCCTTGGTTTAGAGACTGCACAATTAAGAGTACAGTCCTCCATGGAGTTAGTAGGATAGTAATGTTCAGGGCTAGGGTTTCAAAGAATACACGAATGTGCAAATATTCGGCTTAAAATAATAAATTCGAGTAATAATAATAATAAAGATAAACTACTATATCATCTAAAATATCTTGATTATGGGTAACATGACTAGTGCAATGAAATTTACAGTAATGCATGACTAAATCAGTGTGGCCATTTTACGTCAAGTTTGTTTTCCATACTTCTAAATTTAAAAGATAAAAAGGACACTAATATACTAGCTTGACTGGAACAAGGGTATGATATACAGCAGGGGTAGGCAAAATATGGCCCGCATGCCGAAGGCGTCATGTGAGCTGATTTTCAGTGGCACTCACGCTGCCCGGGTCCTGGCCACCGGTCTGGGGGGCTCTGCATTTTAATTTAATTTTAAATGAAGCTTCTTAAATATTTTAAAAATCTTATTTACTTTACATACAATAATAGTTTAGTTTATATATTATAGACTTATAGAACGAGACCTTCTAAAAATGTTAAAATGTATTACTGGCACGCAAAACCTTAAATTAGATTGAATAAATGAAGACTCAGCACACCACTTCTGAAAGGTTGCCCACCCCAATATACAGGAATGCTAAGAAATATTTCCTGCCCCCAGTCACTTGACCAAGGCAAAGTTACAAAAAGTTCATACCCCGTCACATGGCAAAAGTCAAAATCCACTGAGTCTGTAACATTTATTTTGTTACTTTATGTTAAAACTGGAAAGATAAATCTAATTGACTTTTCACCATTTACTGCATGTGTTGGCATTTCATTCAGCTTAGACAGTAAAATGTGTGGTTGGGACGAGGGAGGGTCTCTCATGTCACCTGTATCATCCCTTCCCTGCAAAATAAGAGGTGAGAAGGAGTTATGGAAGTAGGTGGAGAATGCCTTTACAGTAGTATGCTGAGGTCAGTGTAGAACTTGATCATCCAAGCCCACACACGGGGCTTCCCAACCCCATTTTAAAAGGACCCTGAAAACTTCAATTTGGGTGGATCTCTTGAACTCTACACTATGCTCACAGGCCTAGTGGCACACAGCCATTCTGTACTAAGCTTAACATTGTTAAAACCAGTGGAGCTTAACCAGGCTTGGTGATGGTGGGATATTTTGATAAAAACATTTCTAGTATAGGCAGGCCTGGAAGGTGAACTCCTGGGTGACTTTTATAGAAGAACCTAAAACTGCTTCTACAGAAGGATATTGCAACAAAGGTGGGATGCCGGAATTCATTAGGCTTTAAATATCTGTTAAAATCCATGGGCCATAATGTAACGGCCCAGTGCAACAAATTTTCTACACACTGTATGTAATCAGTAGCTATAGTATATGGAGAGAAACTGCAAAAAAAAGTTATCCATGTAAATAGTTCAGATATTTTTTTTAAAAGAGTTCATCTAAGCGAATGGGTGAAACTATTATGAATTGGTTTGGAACCTAAGTGTAGCTCCTGAGACAGGCTGCTGCTGATCATGTTGGTAGCACATTTAACGTTTTGGCTGCCCTGGGTTCCTGGAGTACCATCAGCGTGATTCTTACACATCTTACTTTCGTTTTGGGTCTGTTCCCATTTATTGGGTGTTTTTGTGTGGTGACAAGCAATGAAATTATAAAAGAGTGTAGTCATCTCATAGATTGAAAGTTGTGCGCAAACAGCTTAAGAAGTGTCTTTTGTGAGGCTAAGTGACACTTGAGAAAGCTTCTGAATTTGGACAGACCTGTTTAGTGCTATCACTACCTTTTTAAAGTCTGAATAAATTCATTTGAAGCTAAGGTCGACTGAGTGAAGTTGTATCAATTACACCACAGATGGCTGTAATTTAATATGTAACTTTTTGATTGTTAAACTCAATACATTGTAAAGCAGACTTGAGTAATGAAAACAAGTAAAAACTGCAAGATGTGTACTGAAGGTTTAGTCTTTCTGTTTCCCTTTATTAACTGTTAGGACTTTTGTATAGAGATGAAACCCATAGGATTTTATACAATTTACTCTAAACCCTTACAGATTTTAATAGAAAATGAGATCATTTGTATCTAGTTTTTTGAACCATCCTGGATAGATATTCTATAGAAGGGATAAAATGTTCTATTAAATTCCATCGCTAAATAACTCTACAGAAAGATTGTCCTTTTTATAATAAATTCTGTTAGACTTTCCCATATGGCTCAGTAGGGGAAAAGGTGGAGCGGTTCTTTCTTTATATTGCATGAGGGATTCTTCCACTGTCATTGGGTTCTTGTTTTTAGTTTTAGTTTTTGTAAACCCCTTCCTTTACCCTCCCTCAAGACCTAGTGTCACAACAACCATCTCCGAGTTAGAAAACTACAGTAGATGGATCTTCCTGTGGATCCTATTAACACCATTCCTTTAAATGGCTGGAGAGGTTCGTCCTAAGAAACTTGCATCCAAGGGTTTAGATAATTAAGTGAGAGGTGTCTTCTTCAGAATTTCTACTCACTAGACAGCCAATTTAACCTTGTGCTATTATTGAGGCCCAGTCCTGCTCTTCTTGAAATCAAGAGCAGCACACCCATAGTGTGGAATTTTAAAAAGCAACTAAATATTTAGCAGCATAAATCCCATTGATTTAGAATGAGATTTGTGTTCCTAAGTCAATTTGGTGCATTTGAAAATTCCATCTATAATCTTTGGTAGGTTCAGGATCAGGCCCAGAGTTGTTATATCTCCCTCTGTGCCCTTCCACCCCCATTTCCCCCTATGTCTTTAAACCATGGAAGGTGTGGAATGTTGTTTTATATTTGTTTCATACATTGATAAAAATGGTACTGTTTATATACCCAGAAAGGAAGACTGATACTTTTTCATGAATATAAAATAAAGGTGCTATTTGTTCCCCTCTGAGGTTTAGTCATATGACTTGAGTTAGTGACTGTAGACTAGAAGTTTTAAAAATTCTGTTAATTTGATTTATTTATTTTTATAACTGGATAGTGAATGTCTACAGACATTTCTGCTGTAAATGCTAACCAGTTAGCATTACTGTGCCCTATCAAAATATCTATCTAATTTGATAACGTAACTGTGAAATCTTTTCCCCTCACCCTTTCCCAAAAATGAAAATGTAAAGAATGTAAGACCTCTCATGAACAGGAAATGGCCACTCTGCAATTAGTCTAAATTAGTTTATATTGTCTTTTTAAAATACTGCTCAAACTCTTCTCCAGAAAATAAACCTGCATTAAGGGCTACATTCACAAAGAAATTTAGGTGTGGTGATACTGAATGTCGATGGATAAATAATTTAAAAAATTCAAAGTACAACAGCTTCAACAGGAGAAACTGAGAGAGCCCCACATCAGAATATCCCATAGCCCGGTGGCTAGGGCATTCACCTGAAAGGTGGCAGATCCCTGTTCAACCATTTTTCAACCTCAGATGGAGGGGGGACTTGAACCGGAGATGTCCCAGATGAATAGTCTAACCACTGGGCTAAAAGTTGTGAGGGATTTTCTCTCCCCCATCTCCCTCAGTTTGTAGAGATTGCCTATTAGGGGCCTGATACAGTAGGTGAGGTCGGAGCTCGCTTTCTAGATCAGGCCCCGCTGGTGAATTAGGTGGAGGAACACCCATCTACCTACTCCTGGTTTGTGAATTATGGGGACTTAGGCATTTGGATGCCTGCCGTGCAGTTGTAGTGCTTATGCTCAGGGGTGGAAACGTCATTGCCCAGGAAACTCTACTGCAAAAATTTAGGTACTGAGCAATTTTAGGTGCCTACAGGGTTCAGGGGCAGCTGAGCGGGGGTTTTGTGAATACCTGTGGGACCTGA